GATTGTTCAGAACATTAATATAGTTTTTCAATTTACAACTCTGTGCCACTGTATAAAATATAAGAATAAGCAGCGCGCGTGGTCGTTGCTATCGGACTGCGTCAAATCAATCTGATTCAGTACAAGGCACATGAATAGTACAATCTTTTAGATTTGGCTTTTAGTGTTTCGTCTTTAATCGATTTTGATGCATGAGGAGTCTTAGTTTATAATCAAACTCGTATAGATTTACATTGATTTCATTGATTCCTCTTGCTTTACGTTCCTGCGTTCGGCAAGTTTAAATCCTGCACGCAGCAATTGTTTTATAAAGGCCTGCAAATAATTGTTCCGGGTCTGGCTTCTTCATGTAGAATTTATGTACCTATGTAAAACGCCTCCATGATATAGGAGATATAAACGGTATATGTGTAAGATTACTAAAAATAAAAAAAATACGTGTGGCACTCGGTGACTGCCGCGGTAAAGCTAATGCATAGCATTTTTTATCAACTTATGCAATTATAATTATTTATTTATTTTATTTATGCAGTTAAGTCTTTGATATTAAATCAAGTTACACTTTTTGAGCGTGGTGACCGATAAGAAAACAATTTTTTTTCTCTTATTGAATAAATGAGAAGTTAATATTGTTTAAAATATTTTTAATATCTTAAAATACATGTAGGTTATTTAGGAATTTTTATCATTGAGTTAGCAGCTAGTGTACACGCACACAAACACCGTGCCGAAGTCTGCCGAGTGCCGAAGTCTGCCGAACTGAAACGACGTTAGACGATGCACGGCTTTCAACGCCACACCTCCGTGCCCGTCGGAGTGGGGAGCGTGAGGTTTTTTTTCGTTACGGAATTTCTTGATTCGGTCCCCGCGCTCAAGGCCCGCGATAGAAGCTATGCAATTGCTTAAGGACGCGTTTGCAAATCAACCAAAATTAGGGTGTTTTTCGGTAGATTTTGTGACAAAACTAAACCAAATCAAATATAAGTAAAAACTACCATGTATAGATTGGTTCTTCATCTGCAAATGTCTGTAACTCTTTTGTTGAAAATAGTAGTTTTTTATATTGTAAAAACGAACTTTCGTTGCCATTTTCTACAAAATTAACGATACCGGCTTGTGTTTCGGTAGATGTTTTGGTCTATTATCAACATATTTAAAAATTTAAAAAAATACTATAAGATGACAGACATATTCAATTAAAAAACCCTGGTTTTAATTTTTAACAAAATGTCACAAATAGTCGTAGAAAAAATAAAAACGGATGCACATTTTTTCACATATTTTGCTAATATGGATGAATCATAATATATTGCAATAAGGGCTATTTTATTGTTGGTGCCTGCTTTGATTTATTGTACAAAGATTTCGGATGAAACCACAGTCCGCGCTCGGCCGCCGTCGTGAGTGGACACTGTATCGCCTGTTTGCAGCGGCTCATTCTGAAAAGATCGCTGTACATACACAAAATATTAGAAAAAAACAAATTGGAAACATAAGTACTTGACAAGTGATAAAATTATTATTTTTATACTCACAGTTTTTATTTAGCTAAAAATAAGTAGGATATATAAACTTACCTACTACTGCAACTCGTGGACGAGCGGAACTAGGTGTGCCGAGTTTGGGCTCGTTTTGTTGGTTATGATGAGACCTTACCTCTGGACTTGATGGCATGACCTGAAGGTGTACTTTCGTGACCGCTATTTGAACTTCTTGCAGAGTAAAACTAGGGGTGACGAATTTGAGCTCCGTTTTGTTAGTTATGACGAGTCTATACCTCTGGACTTGATGGAGTGACCTGAAGGTCTAAATCGGTGATTGCAACTGGAACTCCTAGACTGGTAGAACTAGGTGTGCCGAGTTTGGGTTCGTTTTGTTAGTTACGATGAGACCTTACCACCGGACTTGATAGAGTGACCTGAAGGGGTAATTCAGTAACTACTGCTGGAATTTCTGAACGAGTAGAACTAGGTGTGCCGAATTTGGGCTTCGTTTTGTTAGTTATGACGAGTCCATACCTCCGGACTTGATGGAGTGACCTGAAGGTGTAGTTCAGTGATTACAAGTGGAACTCCTAGACTTGTAGAACTAGGTGTGCCGAGTTTGGGTTCGTTTTGTTAGTTACGATGAGACCTTACCACCGGACTTGATTGAGTGACCTGAAGGTGTAATCAGGTGGTTACAAATGGAATTCCTAGACTAGTAGAACTAGGTGTGCCGAGTTTGGGTTCGTTTTGTTAGTTACGATGAGACCTTACCACCGGACTTGATAGAGTGACCTGAAGGGGTAATTCAGTAACTACTGCTGGAATTTCTGAACGAGTAGAACTAGGTGTGCCGAATTTGGGCTTCGTTTTGTTAGTTATGACGAGTCCATACCTCCGGACTTGATGGAGTGACCTGAAGGTGTAGTTCAGTGATTACAAGTGGAACTCCTAGACTTGTAGAACTAGGTGTGCCGAGTTTGGGTTCGTTTTGTTAGTTACGATGAGACCTTACCACCGGACTTGATAGAGTGACCTGAAGGGGTAATTCAGTAACTACTGCTGGAATTTCTGAACGAGTAGAACTAGGTGTGCCGAATTTGGGCTTCGTTTTGTTAGTTATGACGAGTCCATACCTCCGGACTTGATGGAGTGACCTGAAGGTGTAGTTCAGTGATTACAAGTGGAACTCCTAGACTTGTAGAACTAGGTGTGCCGAGTTTGGGTTCGTTTTGTTAGTTACGATGAGACCTTACCACCGGACTTGATTGAGTGACCTGAAGGTGTAATCAGGTGGTTACAAATGGAATTCCTAGACTAGTAGAACTAGGTGTGACGAGTTTGGTTTCGTTTTGTTAGTTACGATAAGACCTTACCACCGGACTTGATGGAGTGAAATTCGGCACACCTAGTTCTACTGGTTCAGAAATTCCAGCAGTAGTTACTGAATTACCCCTTCAGGTCACTCCATCAAGTCTGGTGGTAAGGTCTCATCATAACTAACAAAACGAACCCAAACTCGGCACACCTAGTCCTACAAGTCTAGAAGTTCCACTTGTAATCACCGAACTATACCTTCAGGTCACTCCATCATGTCCGGTGGTAAGGTCTCATCATAACCTACAAAACGAACCCAAACTCGGCACACCTAGTTCCACCAGTCTAGGAGTTCCAGTTGCAATCACCGATTTACACCTTCAGGTCACTCCATCAAGTCCGGAGGTATGGACTCGTCATAACTAACAAAACGGAGCCCAAATTCGGCACACCTAGTTCTACTCGTTCAGAAATTCCAGCAGTAGTTACTGAATTACCCCTTCAGGTCACTCCATCAAGTCTGGTGGTAAGGTCTCATCATAACTAACAAAACGAACCCAAACTCGGCACACCTAGTTCTACTAGTCTAGGATTTCCACTTGTAATCACCGAATTACACCTTCAGGTCACTCCATCAAGTCCGGTGGTAAGGTCTCATCATAACCAACAAAACGAACCCAAACTCGGCACACCTAGTTCCACTAGTCTAGGAGTTCCTATTGTTGTAATCACCAAATTACACCTTCAGGTCACTCCATCAAGTCCGCAGGTAGGTAAGGTCTTATTATAACTGACAAAACCAGTTCAAAGTCCAGAGCTAACATCTCACTACCAGTAGAGGGCTTCCAGTGCCAAGCAGTCTTTGGAGCAGGTATTCATATTTCGTATCGAAGTATATTTCTGAGGTAGGTATAAGAAATGAAAAACAAATTCAATCTTTCAAATTATCAAAATAATTTCATTTGACTACGATTCCCACAGCCAACCGTGCGTACGCTAGTGTGTGTGTGACTTTTGTCAATGTAGTAGTGCGATTCTATACCTATCCATTTTGTAAACGCGTCCTTAATAAAATATTACTGAAATACGTATATAGTTGTAATATATAGATGTTACTTAATTTATCACGTTTTTGCTGATCAATTCAACGAACCTGGAAAAAATATTCCGCAGCTGCTGTGTTGTGTGTTTTAGTAGCCGAGGCCCTGTTAAGAATTGTTTTGAAGCTCTAATGCTCTTTTTATATTAATCATCATTTTTGACTAGGTATAATTTTATTCTACAGTTTAGGTTTAAAGCTTAGCTTTTTTTTCAACTTTTCTTTATTATAATTAATTACTAAAAATAGGCCATGTTATCACATAAATATATTAATTATGTTATATTCCTTGTTGGTCGATGTAAAGATATTATTATTATTATTTAAAGGCGAGCTAGATTAAATTCAAGATTTTATATAAACAAGATACTATATATTCATAACAAGATACTATCATCATCATTACAGCCCTTCACAAGTCCACTACAGAACATAGGCCTCCCCAAGGTATGCCACAAAGCACGGTCCTGAGCCACCTGCATCCATCGACCTCCCGCATGTCTTACTAGGTCGTCACTCCATCTAGTGGGGAGTCGCCCTACACTACGCCTACCGGTACGAGGGTGGCCCAAGATACTATGTTATCCCATATTTAGATAATATTACATTGTTTTTAATGTAAATAAATCAGAGAAATATTGAATATTCTGTGGATCGCAAAAAGTTAAATGTAGATAAACTATATGAGATAAACTGTAAAATCAGCTCAATGTAGGCCTTGTTTTCAGGTAGATAAAAGACAAATATATGGAATGTGGACAAAAATACCGTGCAGTGGCGGTGTAAAAATGTCTACAACCCCATATTATCATCCCGTGGGTGTCGTTAGAGGCGACAGAGGAAAACAGATGGGGAAGTTGGCAGCGTCGTCTTCCTTATAACGACTAAACATAAAAAACTGTGGTTGCCAACCCGCTTGCCAAGCGTGGCAACTATGGCAAATATCCCCTATGAGGCATCTATGTGGCAAGCCAATGTTCAGCAGTGGATTTAATAGGTTGTAACGGTAACGGATAAAAACAACTGTTATCTTTATGTCTATGGGCTGTTATTAAAAACACATTTATGTTCGCGTCATTGAACAGTATTTGTTTTTCCAGCAGCATGCGCCACGTACGCCGAGGACGAGCAGCACGACGCGCACGAGGGTGACGATGTGACGCTGCAGTGTCGGTTCACGCTGCAGCCCGGCGCCGGCGAGTCACTCACGTACTACTGGGTCCGCAACACAGCCAGCGGCCACGACAATGTCGCCATCGGAAATATACCGCTTGAGACTAATTATCAGTAAGTGTTGCCACCATAACAACCTACGCAATTGCAGTCGTTAATTCGCAAAAAAAAACATTACTAAACCCCTATTTACGGGATTATTTGATAGACAAATTCCAACAAGCACCTTGGGTGCTGCTCTTGTCTTTGTAAACGATTGACATGGGTCATTTAAAACTAACGATTGTTTTTAATTGTAACTGATTATTCCTATATCTTAACTGTTAGCAACTTTAAATTAAAATTAGTGTAGATAATTAATAATATTCTTAGGTATATTGCTACACAACTTTAACTTTTACTTAAATATTTAAATCTTTAATCATAAGTTCGTTTCGGTGTTGCAGGTGATGGCAATACTGCGTCTTAGAACGTTATTGGTCTGAGTGCAGTATTCTCATGCAAAACAAATCGGTGTTTGTATGCCCTAAAAATCTTTGTTCTGGTTCCAGCCGTATGTCCTTGCGCAATTTTATGTATGTAAAACGTCTCCATGATACAGAGAAAAATGCTAGTGTGGTAACTTTTTGAGTAAAAATAGATAAGAAAAATACAATTCCTAAGTTCTCTAATCCACTTTAAACTTGTTTTATTGTTTCAATTTTTTTTTATACAATTAGGGTGACATACGACCACACAGTCCACCTGATGGTAAGTGGATGCTGTGGCCCATAGACACATTTAAACTCGATTAAAAATCAAAACGCAGATGCATTGCCATTTGCCACCCCTGAGGACTAAGATGGAATGCCTCGTTTCCAGTAAAAAAGGGTCTCTGGATCTCTACACTCACTATAGGAACACAGCAGTATTAAGCAGCTATTTTACGCTGATATTCTGTGAAAGCGTGGTCGTTTCCCGGTCGAGCCGACCTATTTGTGCTACAACCATAATATAGCTGCGGCGTGGCTCTACCACGTATATATAGTATATATATACAATGTACATACCAGTAAATACATTATTAGACTTGCATCGAACAGTATATTCGGCCACACGCCTGATACCGAATATTCTACGGGCTTACTGGCTGAATAGCCGAATTTTAGGCAAAAGTTTTTGGCGGAGTAGTATTTTTTCATTTTTCATTTTTTCTCTGAGCTGTGTATGACATACGCGGAGAAAAGGAGTAAACTACAGCATGGAAATACAGAAAAATTTGTCATATTCTTGCACTTCTTAATTTTTATTACTATAGTTCAAGAGTCTATGACATTTATCTGATATTTTTTTGTTAACTTTTATAATACGGAAGTTGATTATGTACATATGACTTTTTTATTGATTGCAGGAAAAAGACATTATTAAAAAATAAATATTTTCATTTTACCAACTATTTGACTATAACAGAACATCTTTCTTAAGTATTCGGTATTCGGCCGAACAGTACCTAGACATTCGGTATTCGACCGAATAGAATAAGTAGTTGAATAGGCCAAATACAGAATAATAACCGAATATTTGTTGCAAGTCTAATTATTATTCATCCAAATCCAATTTAATCCAACTCCAGATACTTCTAAGAAGAAGTAAGCCGTACCGTCGACAAGACGTTCAAGACAACATTTTGTATAACGCTTGCCTGGAAAAAAAATTCAATGGCGATGCACGTCATGAATAAATACCCATCCAACACGTGAAGGCACGTCGGCGAATAAGATTCAATACTTCGTTTTCGTTGTTACTACGTACGCACATAATAAATTGTTTTATAACATGTCCGTCCTCTGTTATACTCATGCATTGAAAGGTTAGAACTAGTAATACTTACAGAACCTTTACATTATACATTATTAAAACAATTACTGAAATACAGCTATGATTACTATAATAATCTCGATTTTATTCCATTAAGACATTATTCTTTTTGCTATTATTCTTTATCGCAGAACTATAATTTTCGGGAAAATGAGAATAACTCTGTTTATAAGTATGTTGGCAAGATTCTTTTCGCTTACTAAAGGCAGGTAGAGAGATTAGCAGTGTTTGCAGCTTATGTCCCTTTTCTGATTTTGTTTATATAATAGTTTAACTTCAGCTTCCATTCTTCGGTCTCCACTGTCGTGTTGTACGTGTTGTCGTGCATCGGACACAGATTGTAACATACGTGTACGTGACAGCTTACTTATCGAATATAATTATATACTAACGCAAAAAGCATTCTTACATACATGTCATAGTCTGTATTCCAAAATTAATTCTCATTATGTTCTCTATATTTAAAAATCAATTGGCGTCCGTTAGTCTCGCTGAAACTCAAAAACGGCTCAATCGATTTTGATTAAATTTTTTGCATGTGTTTGAATGATGGTTTAGATTCACATTTGGACCCGGTAGGCGACGCCATAGAATACTATAATACATGCATGATAGAACAGGGGAGTGGGCGGAGCCCGTGTAACCACTAACATGTCAATTCACACGTATAAATGTCAACACAATCAATCGTTTCCAATTTTCGTGTCAAGCGTCGCTACATACAAATTATTTGAAAAATGGCAAATTTTGCAATAATTACATGTCGAAAGAACAGCGGGAAATGGAATTTAAATAAAGGAGACATATTCTACAACCAGTAAGTTGAAACTATTTATATTTTGTGAATATTAGAAACAAAAATAAATAAACATTTATGTGTCAAAAACATTAATCAAAAAAGTCTAAAATGTGTTTGTAGTAGTGATAACTGATAATACGACGTAATTGCTTGTATGTGTGATCCCGGCGACTCCAATGCAACAAAGTAAGGTTGACAGCCATTCTATTGTGTATTATAGTATTCTATGGGCGACGCAGTTGTCGAGATCCAAAAATCGAAGTCGAGGCGGATCGCTCTAGCACATTATAAAATAGTATGCATGCTAAAGTAATTAATTAATAAAAACGTAATGATGTAAAAATCGACATGATTTAAGTAAAGTAAATTGGAACTATTAAGTTCATGTTTACTAACGACGTAATAAAGACCATTTCACATAATTATACGCAAATTTAAAGCCGTGCTATAGTTTTTAGGAATTTTGCTCGTTATAATTAATTATTATTATCATTTTTAATAAAGCGATCTAGAAAAATCTTGTCTCCGAGCATAGGTAATATTTTAATTGCTGATTTACATGGTGCTCGATAATTAAGCAAAACATCGTGATAAAATACATTGTAAAGTTTGCCAACGCGCAATGGAGCATCAGGACGGGCTCTTCGAACTCTTTCCTATTCCAAAACCCTCTTAAAATGGGAGGAGGTCCATGGCCAACAATAACAGTACTGCGCATGCTGCTACTTTATAAGAAAAAGCTTGACTGCTTGATCCAATTGAACTCAAAATCATAATTACGTGTACGATTTTCGTAATATAATCATTGTTATTTATCATTTAATTAGTAGGTCACACGCATTACGCTGCTTCCACTGGTATGTCCCCATTATTTTTTAAGAATTTTCATTAGACCAATGAGACAGAAGGAGCTGGAAGTCTGTAGTATAAAAATATTAAAATAATAGTAAACATAATGGTGTATCCAATTTTCATCAACAGTAATTAATTGGCACTAAAACTAACATTTATTTCGCCTAAACTGCGCCAGCAGACCGTTGAGAATGTTCATTCGTTTTTTGGACATTTTCATAGCCTCTGCTATTTCTCTCACTTTAATTCGGCGGTCGTCCAGCACCATTTGGTGAACTTTAGTGATGTTATCGTCAGTAGTTGCAGTTTTTGGACATCCCGAACGTTCATCGTCTCCCAAGCTCTCACGGTCACGTTTAAATTCAAATGCCCAAAATTTCACTGTGGTAAATGATGGTGCAGAGTCTCCATACACGTAGTCCAACTCATCTTTGATTTGCGTAGGCGTATTGCCTTTCAAAAAACAAAATTTAATGACAGCTTTTCTTTTTTCCATTTTCACAAAATCACTCACATTTACTCCTCAAACGACTGTCAAATAATAAAAACTACGCGTCCAAAATGGCAGAAATTTTGGTGCGTAACTGTCTAAAGATGCACAACTACATTCACTAGCTTTTATTGACGAGTGCTGCCATTTTCACGTTGAGGTGGGAAACTTCAGACTACCCTAGTATACTAAAAAGTCCCCAGTAGTAGTACCAGTACCCAGTAGTGTACATTTTTCAAAATATTTTTAATTCTTTTACTTTTAAGAATATTTGTACTTTGTTTTATCCATTTCGAGTCTCATCAATATAAATTATAATTAATATTTCAGAAACAAACAATCTTTACACTATTCTTACTATTTTGATTTCTCAATCATGAAATCTGTCAAATATTTGTCTTTATTCCAAAAGAACACTGCCCTGGGGCACCCTTAATTGACTGGTTTAATTTGAAAAGATACTAAGCGTGTTTTGCATCTGTAGGATAAAGTACGCACCGTCGGAGGGCCGCTTCGACCTGGTGGTGTCGAACGTGACGTACGAGAGGGACAATGGGCGGTTCGAGTGCCGCGTGAAGGCGGGCGGGTCGGGGCGCACGCTGCACGCGCAGACGCACGCGCTCACCGTGCTGACGCCGCCGCAGCCGCCGCGCCTGACGCCCGCCGCGCGCGCGCCCGCACATGAGGACCAGGAGCTGCGCCTGCAGTGCTCCAGCGCCGGCGGCTCGCCGGAGCCCTCCATCAAGTAAGTTACACACACTAGCCCAGTACTCGTGCGCACACTGTGCCAACGGCTCGCCGGAGCCCTCCATTAAGTATGTTACACACACTAGGCCAGTACTCGTGCGCACACTGTAGCAACAGCTCGCCGGAGCCCTCCATTAAGTATGTTACACACAGGCCAGTACTCGTGCGCACACTGTGTTAACGGTTCGCCGGAGCCCTCCATTAAGTATGTTACACACACTAGGCCAGTACTCGTGCGCACACTGTGCCAACAGCTCGCCGGAGCTCTCCATTAAGTATGTTACACACACTAGGCCAGTACTCGTGCGCACACTGTGTTAACGGTTCCCAGGAGCCCTCCATTAAGTATGTTACACACACTAGGCCAGTACTCGTGCGCACACTGTGTCAACGGCTCGCCGGAGCCCTCCATTAAGTACGTTACACACACTAGGCCAGTACTCGTGCGCACACTGTGCCAACGGCTCGCCGGAGCCCTCCATTAAGTATGTTACACACACTAGGCCAGTACTCGTGCGCACACTATGCCAACGGCTCGCCGGAGCCCTCCAGCACGTACGTTACACACACTAGGCCAGTACTCGTGCGCACACTGTGCCAACGGCTCGCCGGAGCCCTCCATTAAGTACGTTACACACACTAGGCCAGTACTCGTGCGCACACTGTGCCAACGGCTCGCCGGAGCCCTCCATTAAGTACGTTACACACACTAGGCCAGTACTCGTGCGCACACTGTGCCAACGGCTCGCCGAAGCCCTCCATTAAGTAAGTTATGGCGCACCTTAATTTTATTAAAGAATAAGTGTGACAAACGAGCATACAGTCCACCTGATGGTAAGTCTCACAATCATCTGTATCTATCCTCGATTAGGAATCAAAATGCAGATGCCTTGTCACCCCTGGGGACTGAGATGGAACGCCTCGTTTCTAATGAGAATGTCTCCGGTTCTCTATACTCACCATATGAAACACAGTAGCACTAAGCTTCTATATTACGCTGGTATTTTGTGAGAGCGTGGTCCTACCCCGGTTGAGCAAACCCATTCATGTTACAACCATAATATAGCTGGATTATGGCTCTACCACGTATAAAACACTAATACTCTTGTGCACAACGCACTCCTATCACATCACGTATCTAAAACTCAATAGCACCCGGAGACAGGAAGTTGGCAGTGTTTCACCTCAGTGCCTCGGAAAGCACGTAAAACCATTGGTCCCGCGCTTTGTCTCTCTCCCGTCTTGTCGGATAACCGTCTCATCGGAGTATGAGAGTGAGGGAATAGAGACTTGTGCGTACACTCGGGCACTTTAATCCTGTTGAGATTTTAACGCCGTGACCGAAATTCGATCTGAAGGCTCGTGTGCACCCAGTGCCGACGGCTCGTTGGAACTCTAGACTCACGTGCCACTGGTGACTAATGCTTGTCGTTTGTCAGCGCTCATGAATATGTCGCTGCAATGCTTATACGCGCGTGAACGCTTGGAGTCCTTGTCCTTGTTGAGCCTACGGTGGTGGCTGAGCGTCAAAGAATTGTTCATATAAATACACATTCTTATGTCATGTACGGTAAATTAATTGACCTTATATAAAATTAATTTTTAATAAAAAGTTTACTACATTTCTATTTGTATTATATTTCTACATTTTGTAGACGGTGCTAAGATATATTTTATACAAGAACTAATACCCCGACTTTACAATGTAAAATTATTTTATATTGTTTTTAGTTGTTCTTGTTAATTAATAAATAGGTTGTACTTCAATGTAATGGTCCCATGTAAATATTAAGATAAACAGAAGAAAAATAGAAGATAAAATTTTAATGTAACTATCTAGACGACATTCTAGTTTTTATCCTGTACTTGTGATATTCTTTAGTCTATTCAAAAGGTTAAAATAATTCAATTTGAAAACAAAAGATAAAACCGACTTCAAAAAATATTTCCATATAATAATTCTTCCATACATAAATATATAAGACATCGTTTTCTTTTTTTTTACACGCAGTCCACCTCCTGATGGTTAGTGGATGCTACGGCCCATAGACATCTATCCTCGATTAGGAATCAAAATCCGGATGCGCTGTCACCCCTTAGGACTAAGATGGAATGTCTGGCTTCCAGAGGGGTCTCCGTTTCGCTATATCAATATACGAAACATAGCATTAAGCTGCTATTTAACGCTGGTATTCTGTGAAATAAAATATCAAATTTAGATAAAATATTTTCTCTTTGTATTTGAAGTGGGATTTAACTTTATTAAAGTTTAAGTATTAAAATATTGTATCGAACATTTTAAAACATATAAAACGGATATATGTAATGTAATTATAGTGTTTTATTGATCAACCTGAGTAATAGTTCACCCTTTACTATGAAACAGTTGCTTAAGTGAACTTGGACCATCCCTAACATGTATTTGTAATCAGGCGACCCTCATATGAGCAAACGAGGGTGGTCTAATTACAAAATAAATATATGTCGTGTCAGCATTTGGCATTTAAATACACATTTTTGTTCATTTAAGTATTTTTTATTAAAAAGTTTTTGAATAATACAGCATTTACGATTTCGGTAAATTTCCATAGTCTTACTGTTTAATCGTGTTAAACCTTGTGTATGGTTTAGGGAAGTTTCGTATTATATTGTAATGTAAGGAAACAAAGCATTAAGTAGCAAATCGTTGAATACTTACTCGACTTTGTCATTTATTATCCTTTTAAAATCCTTAACGACTAAGTAGACCTAGTGGGAGTTGACATTAATAAACTTTAAATGGAAGTAGACGTCAACTGTAAAGCTTAAAGTGCTGTAAACTATGACGTGGTCCATAAATATTCAAAACACACTTACTTTTTTTTTCAAACCTCTTACACTGGTGCGCACTTGGTCTCAGCCACTCAATATTGTTAATGTGAACTCTCTTGCGATAACACACACCGTACCCAGAGTCATAAATTGACAATTCAATATCCCAACGTACTTACGATTTTAATTGCTTACTGACAGCTATATAGTGACGTCTACTCTTTCATCAAAATACTAGAGACATATTATGAGATTATCGCCCATATAAGGCGTTCGCAATGGTTGTCTCAAAGCATAGTCGTAAACATTGCCTGTCTTGAGCGTAGTACTTAGTATAATATATTATAGTATAATACTCTCAAATCTGTAATTACTCCACCCACAAACTGTGTGGTGATACCTAGTCTTCTTACGTTCTGATTACTGGTACAATTCGAAATCCTTTCATCCCTACAGCTTGTCAGTTCTTCAAACTAAATCTTCGGCTAATTGCTATTCAGCTTTCTGATTGTAAGGCTATATCACCTACGCTTGTTTTACTACGAATATCCTTTTTACGGATTTAATCACGCAGAGAAAAGTTGAACATAGCCCTGTCTTTGAAACATAAATATCTGAGCGACTATGACCTCTTTTATACGACAGGCAATTAAATAGACTAAATTTTTTGATTATTAAAAGTTACAGCCTATATACGTCCCACTCCTGGGCACAGGCCTCCGCTTAGGCATTTAGGGCAAGGAATTATCCGCCGCGCTGCCCCAATGCGTGTTGGCGAACTTCACATGTCTTCGAAATATTTCTTTTCTTATTTATTTGACATGCAGGTTTCCTCACGATGTTTTTCTTCACCGCCGAGCACGTGGTAAATCAGCACTACAAATTGCAATTAACAATTTCATTGGTGCCGGCGGGGGTCGAACCCGATTTGCTCGCGGACTGTGAAATTTACTGCGAGCGGTAACCATCTGAGACATCACGACTTTTGATTATTACTTTTGTTATTATTCGTATTCACGTCATAAAATGAAAACGAGTATATTAATAAAAAAATTAAAACGTTAATTATCGTACTATGCAAAGTTCCCGTTTGTAAGGAATATACTACTCTTTCTTATAAATCCCGACCTGTCCATACCACCTGATGGAAAGTGGCTACTGCATGCATTTCATGAACATCTGCCACCGACTTCAAACGAAGAAGGCTACAAAAGCGTTGTCACCTCCGAGGGCCGAGATGGAATATCTCACAGCCTGTTGTTGAACTTGCTCGTTGCTCTCGCTCGTTGCGTGTTTTGTTTTTCGTTTTGGTCTAAAGCGTATATATACACGCTTTAGACCAAAACACACAGTATGCACTGCAGGAAATGTTATTTGGCGGTAGAAATTACGCCAGGCGTTTGTAAAATACTTATACTGGAACCAAGAGAGGTCTTTGTTCAACTGTGGGTTTATACGGGCTTTAAGAAGAACATTTCCTAAGTAGTTATCAATTTCTCTTAGTAGTAGTATGGTAATTGTTAGTGATGAAATCAAACTAATACGGCAAAATTGTAAAGAAAAGTAAGTATAGTAAGAAAATTATGAAGTTCGTCAATTAAACCAACTATTTTTAAATTGTTACCATTATAACTTCAATACGTCGATAATGTTACTACTTCGCCTCTATTAGAGCTGATAAAAATAGACCTCCATTCATATTTACGTTGTATTCGGTATCCCCATCGCTCTTGTCGCTCCCCATTAGTTTTTTAAGATATTTTTTTATGGAGACAGCTGTATAATGTGTCGGCTGATTCCATAAAACACGTGAGGCGTCTATCCCCTTTAGAATGTTTTGTATTACGGCTTACGATTAAAATATGTCCTTATTCTTTTTACTCTGTGACTATCGTTTTATTTTAGACTTTTGAAAAATTAGTTTCATCCTTTAAGAGTTTGTAAATTCTCAGCATAACTTTTGATAAAAAACAAATTAATGTGAACGTGTACAAGAATAACCTTATTTTTCTCCTATTTTATATTCTATGTTTCCTATTAGGTATTTGTCACTTCGTATTCGTACTGGAAAGTTTGTACTTAGCAGCCCGTGTTTGTAGTATGGACCTCCCGAGTCGCATCCATTTTTACAATTTGAAATGGTGACAGATTACCGTGATGTAACATGTATGTGTTATATGTAATATT